AGGATCCAGCGTTGAGATCCTTTTTCTCCAAAGCTAGCCAACAGGGAGGAAATTTCCTATTCTTTCCCAGATTAATCTATGTTCTACAACCAAGGCTGTGGCATCTTTGGCAAAAGAGTCTTACCATCTAGTTACATAGGCAACGAAGAGCAATGGCAATAGCCTGTGCTGTTTGAGGGGCCTCTGAGACCTCCCTGAGCAATAATTTGTTGGGAGGTATCCCAGTCCTGACACTAAGATTTTCATTTAATAACCCATGTCTTCTAGCATTTTCCTGCCATACAGGGTACCTCCTTTTTTTTTTTAATCATGTCTTTAAAAATATATTACAAAGTCATGAGTTTCCATAAGGCTTTTTTATACCTCCTTTGTTTTGGTTAACTTACTCCCAATCCCACCCTCCCCCTGAGCCTTTAACCTTCAGTATCCTCCCCCTCTTCTTTAATATTGAATTTGTTCTGCTAGTCTCCTACTCCTATTAAGGCGTGGGCCCTTTCTGACTTCCTAACTTCTACTGACAGTCCAGGTTAAATATACAAATCTAAAAATTAGAAGCTAGGATCCACATATGAGAAAAACACAAAGTATTTGTCTTTCTGAGCCTAGGTTCTCTCACTTAACATAATATTTTCTAGTTCTATCCATTTTCCTGCAACTTTCATAATTTCATTTTTCTTTATAGCTGAATAAAATTCCATTGTGTATATGTACCACATTTCATTATCCATTCATGAGTTGTTGGACATCTATACTGATTCTATTTCCTAGCTATTGTGAATAGAGAAGTAATGAACATAAATCTGTAAGTATCTCTGTAACAGGAAATAAAATCTTTTGAATATATGTCCAGAAATGACCTAGCTTGGTCATATGGTAGTTCTATTTTTAGTTTTTTGAGAAACCCACAATGATTTCCATAGTGGCTGTACCAGTTTATACTCTCTAATATTTTTGATGGCTGTAGGTGATTTTGATTGATTTCAGTTAGATTATGCTCTGACCTGAGCAGGCCTCTTTTTAGATTTTGAGGTTTTATTCAAAACCTAGAACTGATTAATTTGTGTAAAAGTCAGTCTATCTATTCAGCCAATATTTACTGAACACCACCTGCTAGGTTTGTATTGAGTTTTTGTGAAATTGAGTATACAATATTTTTTGGTCATATTTAGACACCTTCCCCTATCTGCACCCCTCTCATAGCCTCCCCCACCAGATTTCATGTATTCTGTCATATATGTTAAGGTCTATCAAGCTATGTTTGTGTCCCCCAGATGTTCTTTGGTGTGAGTCTATCCACTGGAGCCTGGTTACCCTATCTAGTGTCACTCCTTCTCCAGTAGTTATTGGTTGCCAGTAGTTCCTCAGCTAAGGTTGGGGCTTTTTACCAATTTCCCCACTTCTCTGCTGGATTTTTGTCTGACTTGAGCTTACATGGCCCTTGTGCATACTGTCACCATCACTGTACATTCATAAGAGTAACTTGCCAGCTGTCTGGAAAACTCTTTCCTTGTGGTCAGCTACCACCTCTGTCTCTTACATTCTTTCTGCCCCCTCTTCTGCAATAGTCCTTGAGCCTTAGGTGGCAGAGGTTTGTATAGATGAACTATTCAGGCATCAGCACTCTTCAGTCTCTTAGTCTTTGCACTTTGCATCAGTTGTGACTTTCTGGGTTAATCACCATCTGCTACATGAGGAAGCTTCGCTGGTGAGAGTTGAGAAATGCATTAATATTCTTTCTGCCCCCTGTTCCACTATGCTCCATGAGCCTTAGGTATAGAGGTTACATTGTAAATGTGTCACTTAGGGCTGGGCACCTCACAGACACTGTGTTTGACCAGTTGCGGAGCTTTGTGATAGTCTCCACCTTTTTGCAAGAAGAAGCTGCTTTGGTGAGTGATAAGAATTTTGCAGACATCGACCTGGTTTCCAGGGATGTAGTGACAGTTGCATCCTGCAGTCCCAGCCTCCCAGGAGTCATAGCTGATGAACACATGAAAATACCATATATGCTCTGTTTGTTTTCTATACACGCACATACATGACTGTCTGTACACCTCCCCCATGAATCTTTCCATATGTATTCATCTAGTCAGGCAGAGTTTTCTATAAAGGTATTTTAGGCTGTGCAGACTACATATGGTCTCTCACATATTCTTTGTTTTGGTCTGGTTTTGTTAAACATGTAAAAACATAAAGACTAGTTCACAGACAGTATAAAAACAGACCTTGGGGCAGATTTGACATAAGATACAGTTTATGAACCCCTGATCTTGAATTTTTTTCTTCTTTGGGATACTATGAGATGTGTGTTTAAAATTTCCAGTGTTATTGTGGGTTTGTATTTATTTTTCTAGAATCTCCATGTGTGATAATTGTGTGGTTTTGTTTCATTTGCTTGTTTTGTTGTTTTGAGACAGGGTCTCACATAACCCAGGCTGACCACAGGCTCCTTTATGTAGCCAAGGATGATCTTGATCCTCTGATTCATCTGCTTCTACCTCCTGAGTGCTGGATTGATGGCATGTGTCACCATGCTCTGCTCTTTGTAGCTGAGCCTGCTTTGTGTCCAGTTTTGTACTTTTCGTGTCACTGAGGCAGCTGGTAGTTATGGATGCAGCTGTTTTCTCCTACCCATAGTTATGGGTTATGGTTTGTTTGCATGACCAGAATGAGAAGCCACATAGCTCTCCACGGTGGAACAGATCAGATTCCTAATACCCCAGTGTGCCTCTGTGTTGGTCTCTATAGTTAGGTGTGAGCCTTGTCCTGGGCCACTGTGGGAAGTAAAGAAGAGGCAGGCTGACCAGGCACATGGGCAGGAAATAGAGCCACAGCCAGAGAAAAGTCTCTCCCAGCAAGTAAAGAACTCTGGAACTCCAGGGTCCATTATGGCAAGTTGCTCAGCAAACCATTTGGTATTGTAGAGCTTGCCTGTCACTGGTGTCTTTGACTTTGACCACCAGCTGCTCCAGACCTGTCACTCCTCTAGCCTCTTTTGTTTTTTTTTTTTACCTTGGGATAGTCTATCTCACTGGTGCACAGGTTGACCATAAAAATGCAGACAAGGATTTCACTGTAATGTTGAGCCTTCACCTTTTCATGGTTGTTTTGCAGTCTACCATGACTGACTCCTACCTGCCCTGGCAGATGTGTCACCTCACTGTAGCCATCATCTCCTGCCCCTGCCCCTACCACTCAGGTCTCAGGCTCCTCTGGCCTTTGCCCTAAAATCTCTGCCTTAGAGTTCCTCTCTTTGCACTGATTATACTATTCCATACTAAGCTCTCATCAGTCCCAACCATCTTCTTTGTGTCTTCCAGAAAGTCTTCACACCCCAGTATATTGACATTTCCATCTCCTGGTGGTTGTATAGATTTTTCTCTTATTTTTGTATTAGTCACTTATTTCAATGGGAATTTTTTATTTTCGTTAAATCTTATTCCAGTGTTCCATGGGAACTTAGTTTAAGAACCACTGGCCTTGACTATTCATCAGTTCAGTCTGCTTCTAGCCTCCTCACTTGCACTACCAGTCAGAAAAGAAGACAGAAGTACACATGGAGCAAAGATGCTGCTAAGAGTGTTAATTTCCTTCTACTGTTGTTGTCAATCAGGAATGTTCTTGGTTTATGTTTGCAAATGCTTGCTTGGAGTCATCCTTCAACCTCCTCTTTTCCCAAAATCTAATCCATCAGCAAATGCCATTGGCCTTCCTGGCCTTCCAGCCCTAGATCAACACTTACCTCCTCTTCTACCACCACTTCCACGATCTAAGTTACATTCCTCTGGCATGTGCATTATGGAAATAGCCTCCTAACAGGTCTTCCTGTCCCTAGCCTACAGCAATGCCAATGATCCTGTTAAAATATGAGTCAGGTGTGGTGGCACACGCCTTTAATCCCAGCACTTGGGAGGCAGAGGCAGGTGGATCTCTGTGAGCTCAAGGCCAGCCTGGTCTACATAGTGAGTTCCAGGACAGCTGGGGCTACAGGGAGACCGTGTCTCAAAAACAACAAAAAAAAAAAAAAAAACATGAGTCAGCTCACGTCTTTTCTATGTTCAAACCCTTCCAGGGCTTCTGACCTCATTCATAGTACAGACCAGAGTCCTGATGATGTCCTTGTGGCTCTGGATTTGATGCTGGCTCTCCCTCTGACCTCTCCTTTTCCTTCCCCCAACCTATGCTGTTTCAGATTGCCTCTCTAACTCACCAAACAGTCCCCAGCTCAGAGCCTTTGCCCTTCTGTGTTCCCTTCTGAATTCTTACTTCCTGTGGGTCTCTGTTCGTCTGTCCTTACCAATAGGCACCACCCTGACCCATATAAACAACATCATGCCCATTCCTTCCTTCCAAGGCCCTCTCTGCCCTCCTTGCTGTGTTATATTTCCCAACATAGCAGGTATCCATCACACATACACATGTATTTTTTTTTAATTGTCTATTACCCCTTTTGAGTACAAGTACCTGGAAGAAAGGCCCTTGGTCTGTTTTGCTTATTGCTGTTGCCTCACCTGCCTAGAACTGAGTCTGGACCTTAGTAGGTGCCTAGGACACAGTTGAATGAATGGTGAGTTCATGTTTTTGTGCCCTAAATACACACAAAGGTTGAGTTGCCTTTAGCGGAAATACCTGGGACCAGAAGTATTGTGATTTCAAAACAATTCAGACCTTGGAATATTTACACAGATTTTTTTAGTTGATCTATGCTTAAGAAGTTTTGGGTTTCAGGACATTTTGGGTATCTGATTGCTTTGTGCTCAGCTTATATTATGGAGTACATATACCACTGAGTTCTAGTTGCTTTCAAAGCACAAGGACACAAGTTTTTATAAAATATCTACATAAAATTATATTTTAGCAACTTTAGTGTATATTTTGTAATCATTTTACCTTTTTAGCATGGTATGCAATTACTTCACCCTGCTTAATGATAGCTTAAAATCTTTTGAGGAATGAATGAGAGTTTCTAAGGCCTATACATCTTGTTTATTTGCTTATAGATGGAGAGCATCCCAACTCATCAAGAGTGTACCTGCTTCAGACCTACCCCAGGTCAGGGCAAAGGTTGCAGCCATGGAAATGTTGAAAGGTCAAAGGGCTGACCTTGGACTCCAAAGGGCCTGGGAAGGCAACTATCTTGCTTCAGTAAGTCCAGGAGAACAACATGGAATCTCTTCCTGTTCCTTTTACAAAGAAAGAGAATAATGTTGTACTAAGAATTTACAGAAAGAGGGCTGGGGATATAGTATCATTTTTGAGACCCTGGGTTCTAGCCCCTGCTCATAAAAGTAATAATAATAGCCGGGAGTGGTGGCACATGCCTGTAATCCCAGCAGAGTCAGGTGGATCTCAGTGAATTTGAGGCCAGCCTGGTCTCCATAGCAAATCCAGGCCAGCTGTGGCTGCAGGGAGACCCTGTCTCAAAAAGCCCCCCGAAAATAAGTAATAATAATACTTTACAGAAAGAAGAAAGCACTTTCAAAAACTGAGTAATTCTCTGAAAGGTGCCAAATGAAAGATGTTGTTTCTTCTAAATGTACAATGCTTTGAAAGGGTTATAACCACGTGTATTAGGCACACTCTGTAACCTGGCCTTTGACCACTTAAATCTTCCCTTGAATTATTCAGCATACATTTTTTATTACCGCCTTTATATTATTTCTAAAGTTCCATTTCATCTTCTCTCTAGTACCCTAATTTAAATTTTTTTCTTTATTATTTTTATTTTATGTGTATGAGTATATTGCCTGCATGTATGTGAGTGCACCCAGGTCGTGTAATGCCATGGAGGTCAGAAGAGGGCTTTGGATTCTCCTGGAACTGGAGTTAAGGACAGTTCGTAGCCACCATGTGGGTGCTGGGGATCAAACCTAGGTCCTCTGCAACAGTAGTCAGTGCTCTTAACCGCTGAACCATTTCTCTAGCCCTCCTAATTTAATTTTTTATAGTACCTCTGATGTTATTAACACATTAGTAGCCTGGCATATGGATGAGACAATTAAAAAAAATATGTGTGTGTGAAACTATGTAAGTATAGCTGTAAAGCAATATACTTGAAAATTGACTTAATACCTATAATGCTAAGAATTCTCCTTTCTTGTTTCCTTGTTCTTTCAGAAGCCAGATACACCTCAGACCTCAGGCACTTTTGTCCCAGTTGCCAATGAACTGAAACGGAAAGACAAATATATGAACGTCCTCTTTTCTTGTCATGTCCGCAAGGTAAAGCAGATTTGAAATGGGCCATGTTGGAGGGAGAAGACTGGCTGAGCTAAAACTCACTTGGGTGGGGCTGCAGTAAAACCTAGCAATATTGTGTAGCTAGCTGCTTCCCAGTGAGCTTTGCCCATCTGTGGATCGTGAATGCATACAAAAAGACTACAAGTGTAGCTTTTTTAAATGAATGGGAAAAGGACGTGTGGGGACAGGTTGTATTAGTTACTTTTCTATTGCTGTGATAAAACTGACCAAAACCTACTTGGGGAAAGAAGGCTTTAATTTCACCTTAAAACTCCCAGGTCACAATCCAACATCTAGGGAAGTCAGGGCAGGAACCCAGAGGCAGAAACTGAAATAGAGACCATGAAGGAATGCTACTTACTGGCTTGCTCCCCTGGCCTGTGCTCAGCCTGCTTTTTTACACAACTCAGGACCACCTGCCCTGGGGTGGCATTACCCAGAGTGATCTGGACACCCCACATCACTCAGCAATCAAGAAAATGCCTCACAGACATGGATAGAGGTAATCCACTGAGGCTCCCTTTTCCCAGCTATGTCAAATTGACAACTGAAGCTGTCCAACACAGAAGACAAGTATGAAACAATGGTTCTTAAGTCAGTGGATATCAGCAAGGAAAGACAAAAATCCCTGAAATGTGAGAAAAAGTGAGGTGAGCTGGGGATGCGGCAATGGCAGAGCAGTAGCCTAGCATTTGGGAGGCCCTAGATTCTATCCCTAGCACCACAAAGAAAAAAGAAAAGGATAAATTGAGGAGAGTGGCCTCATTAGGCAGCCAGTACTCAAAGCTTTCTAGTCTCTGGGTGAGCAGTGGAGCTCAGTGGGTTCCTAATTGAAAAGACAGCCAAGAGACTGTCTTGCCAAGGACCAAGGCAGCAAGGTCTATAGAACACTGTTGTAGAGAAGAGAGAGCTGCAGGGAAAGAAAATCCCTGAGACCTTTAGAGGGTTTGGATATTGGGTACATATTGAACATGCAACAGGATTAAACTACTTGAGCCTCAGCAAGAGACTTAAGCGTCATCTCCCTCCCTCCCCAACCTGGCCGAGGATAGAAGGCCACAGTGCTCACCTGGTTACACAATGCCTGAGCCCTCTGGCCACACTGGAGACCTCATGACTCAGGAGCACCAGGTAGAGCTCTGACACAGATCTTGTATCGGTAGAAATAATTAGCACTTGAATAAACCTGTTCCTGTCCATTAGAACAAATCTGAAAAACACTGTTTTCTAAGTAGCCCAACAGCATACCAGAGCAAAACTCAGAAAGCTTATAGAAATATCCAGTACTCAGAAGGTAAAAATCTGAATGCATGACATCCAATCAAAAATAACCAATTTCCAAAATAACACATTGAACTGAGATGAAAAAGCAATCATCCAAGATAAAACAGATTATAGAATTCATAGACAAGGTCATTGAAACAATTATTATAGTTCTATTTTACATATTCAAAATGCTAGAGGAAAAATTGAGCATGTTAAATGTATACATAGAAGGTTTTTGAATAGCCTTCATTGAGCTTACAAACATGAAAAATAAGTAAGAAAAAAAAGAGTCAATAGGATTAACAGCAGATTAGACCAGATTAGACCTTACAGAAGCAAATTTAGTGAATTTGGACCAGTGAGATGGCTCAGCTGGTAAAGGTACTTGCACCAGCCTGATGTCCTGAGTTCAATCCCTGAAATTCACATAAAGGTGGAAGGAAAAGACTCCATAGAGTGTCCTTTGACTTCTACATGTGCACCTTGGCTGCATGCATGTGCGCACATGTATACACACACACACAGTAAAGTAATAAATGTTTTATTTGAGAGAGAGGCAATTTTAACACATTTTTCCAGAAATAACTTGAAGCAGGTTTTATATATATATATACACACACACATACACACAATGAAGTTTAAGTGGGGAAAATAGGAATAAGAAATCAAAGACCAAAGAATTTGCCAACATGTAGTCAACTTTGGTGGAATAATGAAGGTTTCCATTAGCTCTTCTTTTTTTTTTTTTTTTTTTAATCCTAATGAGTTTATTGGGCTTGCTAACAGAGCATAGGTTGGGGGTTTATTTACAGAAGAGTCAGTGCCCCCCCATTTACAGCTGTGCTGGAAAGTCCACACTCAAATATAGATCCTGTGACTTCCCAACAGCCGCACAAAATGGCGAGAGAGGTGCCTCATGGTGTTCTTGGCTTATATATCCTTAGCCCCTCCCCCACATGCAGCTAAGGTCAACTGATTGGGTGGAAGGGGTAACTGATAGCCTCCTCGACTCCTTGATGAGCTCGGAAAGGAGGTATGACTATAGCTTGCCAACAGAGTGGTCAGAGGACACTTCAGATAACACTCCACCCCTTTCTTTGGCACTTACATTCTTTCCGCCAACCTGTTCCACAAAAGTCCCTGAGCCTTGGAAGGGGTGGTAGGTGTGGGATGATCTTCCTCCTATTGTGGCAAGGCACTGAACTTTCAGGTCTCTGCATCATCTGTTTTCCATGGGCTTTTGGCCCGTTTCAGTGGGATTCAATCTACTATAAAAACACAACAAGAAGCAAGAACATCTAAGCAGTGGCTGCTGTAATAATTTAACCTATGGATGTAAACACAAATGCTTGGACAGTACTTTAACAGGTGCATCACATCCATCTAACAAAACAATTGCAGTGGCTTCCCCCATAGGGCCTATACCTGCCACAAGGGTTGACCTGGTCTACAGTACCAAATGTGTGTTCCACCTCTAGGAGTGGGCATTATATCCAATCGAAAATTTGCTTGTTGTACATAGACTAGACACGCCACTATTGCACCAGCAGGAACATCTTATTTGGCATGTCTTAGTGCAACACATGGGGTCTGTCTTTGAGCAGAATTATAGGGGACAGTTTTCCCCAGCCATCTGCTTATCACCTTCTGGCACTCTGAAAGCCACCCATCCAGTGGCAGGGAGTTTCCAGCCTAGTCCAAGCTTGATTTCTCCCTCTCCCATGCTTACATCATGTGGTGTCTTCAGCAATAGGGTTTTACCATCCACTTCCAATGTACAACCAACATTATTGGCAATGGCCTTTATTGTTTGGGGGACCTCTGGGGGGCCCCTCTAACCAACAGATCATGGGGGGGCAACTCACCTCTATTCTTTTAAGTTGTGTGTCCTAGGTTATCTCTAGGGGATTCTCCTTGTAGAACTCTTCTACAGGACTGGTGGAGTTCAGTGGGAACATACTCTTGGTTTTCCATATTATTTTTCCATTGTGATTTTGGCATGTGGATTTCTTCTGTTTGTGATTCTGGTATGAAACTCAAGCCTTTTTTTGTTGAGTTGAAGTGTGCTTCTGTTTGTATTATCAGTGTGCCTTGGTTGTTTTCTATTGTGTATATAAAGCTGGTTGGTCTAGGTTTCAGGTTCTCTCAGATTTATTTTGGAGAGAACTCCAAAATCTGAGTAGCTTCAAATCAGCTACTCAAGAGCTCCCACAGAGGCCTAACTCAGGCTCTACTGAGGTACACTCAAGCTTCCTTCTACCATTTGGACCCCTACTAGTGGGTACTCAGAGTATAATTTGAGAAGTTCACTACAGGGAGGCCTGATTTTGGGACTCTCAGGCAGTCTACTGAGTGCTCAGCCCCTAAACCAGGCAGAGGCCAGATCAGGTACTCTCAGATGGTCTACTAAGGTCTCAGCCCTATCCTGCTGTAGGGCAGAGAGGTCTACCCCTGGGGCCATAGGAGGGGTCTCACATAATCTCACTTAGGGGCTTGGGTATGATGCAATTTGGGGAAGCTTTGGGGAAACTCACCACCGTGTGGAGACTGGATCCAAACACTCTCCGACTGTCTGCTCAGTTCTCAGCCCCTACTCCAGAGGAAGGCCCATAAATAATTATTTATTTTTATTGAATTGTTTGTGTATTTCATACACAACATTTCAAATTATCTTAATCATATTTATACCCCTGTACCCACTGGCACCCTCCTGTAGCCCCCCCAATGGGGCCCATATACTCTGTCATCCCTGTTAAGGCCCACTGTGTCATCAGTGTTCCCAGCTGTTCCCCAGTGCAAGTCCATCCACTGAGGCCTAGTCAGCCTATCTGTCATCCCTTGTTTTAGGAAGATCAGCTCTTCATTTAGCAGCAAGCAGTAGCCAGTATTTCTTCAGATAAGATTGGAGTCTACTGTTCACTTTCCCAGTTCTATGCTGGGTTATTGTCTGCCTGAGTTTGTATGGGATTTGTGTATGCTGACACCATTGCCATAGAATCATATGAGCAGATTCCCAGGAGCTTGTAGGACTCTGTTTCCATATGGTCATGCACCTTTTCCCTGCCTCTTACACTCTGTCAACCCCCTCTTCCTCAATGGTCCCTGAGCTTTGGGTGGGTGAAGTTTAATATAGGAGTCCTGTCCAAGGACCATCATTTAGACTTCATCTCTATGCTTTGGTTATTTGTGATTTTTTGTGTTTCTGGCCCTCTGCTGAATGAGGGAACTTCATTATTGAGAACTGAGAGATTCATTGGTGTCCTCTTCTTTACCCCTCTGTTCTATGTTCCATAAGCCTTGGGTATAGAAATTGCATTGTAGATGTGTCCCTTAGGCCTGAGAAATTCATAGACAATGTCCATGTGTGACCAGTTGTGTTCTTGGTAATAGTTTCTGGTGCAAAATGGGCTTCTTTGATGAGTGGTGACTGGGATATTTGTCTGTAAATATAAAGATACATATTTTGCACATAGTAAGAAATACATTAGTCTAGCAATGTGACAGTCTTGGGGTTTTCTCTAAGATCTATGACCACTCCAGCCATGTGTATTTGTTTATGTTTACAGTACCACACTTGAGTTTCCTCCCATTGAGTGGGCTTTTAATCCAATTAGGTAGCTGTTGATTGCCCCCAAGATAAAAGTGCCACTACGGCACCAAAGACCTATGCTGTGATGGCCATTGATGTGGTTATTTGGTCTTGAAACTGGTGTTGG